CTGCTTGGAGTCCCTCTCACTCTCTCTCTCTTTTTTTTTTTTTTTTTTTTTTTCGTGGCCCCTCTTTTGTTAGCCTCTTTTCCTAAAAATTAAAAAAACTTAAAAACTTAAAAAATGAAAGAAAACCAACCAGAAATAAAAGTGAAGCGCTACCCACAGCATGTTCACCTTCTTACTCATGGCTTCCAGAATCATGGCTTCTAGAATCATCTAGATCTCCCCTAGAGGTTTCGTGCCTTTCTCTCCTGACACCCATGCGCTCTGTCCTTCAGTCCTTCATCTGTGTACTGTAACACCCGGCTCACTGCCCTACTTCCCTTAGAGCCGCTGCATTTACACACTTCAACCTTTCCTAGGACTGTTGCTACAATTCAGAATGGGCTTCCCTGCCTCAGTGGTGTCATAAATGTTGAAGTTTCCAGCTGGCCCCAAGCCCTTTTCGCCAAATACCCAGTTTGACACCATTCCCCGTGGTCCAAGTTCTAGAATCCAAGGCAAGGGATGGGGCGGTGCGAGAGGAGGAGGAGGGGAAGGGGCAGGAGGAGGGGAAGGAAGGGGGGAGAGGACAGCGGGAGGAGGAAGAGCATCTGCCGGGTGGGCCTTCCTGCCCTGCCCCGAAGCGCCACACCATCCCAAATCCCCTGCTTCCCTTGGCCCACAATAAACCTTCCATTTCCTGCAGTTGGAGAAGCAGACGGTTTAAAAAGAACATGCAGTTATCATGACTGTCAACTGCTCTGGGGCCAGCTGCGCTGTGACTTGGCCCAGTAGCCTAGAAGCATGTTGCCATGGAACAGAGAAAAGGTTCCGTGCTCTGAAAATGACTCAAAGCCAAAACGGCAGGCCGGTGGGGAAGAGAGGCTAATTGTGTGACCTTGGGCCTTCACCGGTCTGGGCCCCAGTTTGCACACGTGTAGAATGGCGATGCCTCCAGTACCTCCAGGAGCAGTCCTCGTGTGGACTAAATTCTTACAGGTGGAGACCACTTAGCACCTTTTGTTTTTGAGGCACAGCTCCATTTCCCCCTGCAACGCTGGCCCTGAAAGGGCAGGGCAGGGCAGGGTCTGATTCCCCGCTCTCTTTCCCAAGCTCTGTGAATACCTGCTCAATTTCAATTCACGGCCATTCAAGCACAAAGCCCACATGTCTCTGTCCTTCCTATGCTTTCACAGGCACGTTACCATTTCACTTTTCACGTGGCCCCGGGCAGCCACCTCTATTTTCTGGGGACGGTGCTGCTGGCCTTTCCTGCTCCCGTCCTGCCTCGGGGGTCCGTTGTTAAGGAGGACCATGGGGCCCAGCATTTCCCCCAGTGAACCAGAGCCCTCATACTGACTCTACAGCTCCTCATTGAGCGTGAGCCTCCGCCTCAGCTTGCGGTCCACGCCCGCCCCAGCTCTTTCCCTAAGAGCCTCTGGGTCCAGGGGGCTAGGTCTGTCCTGGGGTTCCCGTTCCCAGGCTGCCCACTGCTAATGTGGTCTGTGCACGACAGCCAACCCCCCCCCCCCAGCACGTTCCGCAAGAGCGCCCCTGGAGTGGATCGTGCCAGTCCCGCTTAACACCTTTTGGTGGCTGGCTCTCTACTCCACGAGTGATCACGTCCCAGTCTCTCGGCCACACGTCCAAGTGCCCTCCCGCTGGAGTCCTGAAAGCTCCCTAGGCCCGGTCTGTCCTGCCCAGAGTGAGATTCTGCAGGCCGCCTTCCCTCCTGCCTCACGTCTGCTGACACTTTCCACTCGGCTGCCATTCTCTTGCAGCGGCTTCCCCACTCAGCTGCTGACTCCAGCCGGGACAGCTCACCTGCATCTATCCGGGGCCCGGCTCTGTGGCATGAAGTGCCAGGCCTTTGGGACCTGCGCTAGCCTGACCCTCCCGTCTGCCAGCAAGCATGGGTAAGAGCCGGGGACAGGAGCAAAACACTGTCAGCTTGATAGAGAAGGTCCAGGAAGGGCGTGGAGAGTGACTCCTCTCTCTGGCTGCTGGGCAGAGTCCACCCGAGCCCTTGTGCAAGCTGAAAGTGACATGTCATCCAACCAATTTCCCAAGTCCACCAAGGAGACCAGGCTGGGTACTTTATGGCCTAGCTCCTCCATACACCATGGCTCCTGCCATGACCCTTGTGACATGACCCTCAAAGTTCTTTACAGATTCCCCCAGCACCTGGCACACAAAGGCCAAAGGCACTGGCCCACAGTTGTGGAGTCTTTTGGAGAAGTTCTGCAAAGCAGGACGATATCCTGGCTAAGGGGTTAACACATGTTCCTCACTCTCCCCTGCTTCCCGCGGCTATATGCATTTATGCAGGAGCCACTGTCACCTGTCACAGTGCTGGCTTCTTCCCTGTAGCATTTATGACCACTGCTTGTCGTGTCCCTGACTGTCCCGACCACCCTTGCTGCCTTTCTGCAGATAAGGGGGTGCCAGCTTGAGGGCTGTAATGTGGGACATCCCTTGCAGGTGAGGTCACTCTGGGACACCTGGATACCCAAGAAGCCTCGAACAACTCCAGTGACTCCTGAACTCCAGGGAGAGAACTGCTGAATTCAGTCAAGGTCTTTGGAAACCAGCAGCTCACCTTCCTTATTTTACGGGGAGGGACTCGGGGCCACAGAGGGACTCGGTGAATACCCAAGGTCATTTAGGGCAATTGGCGGCACACCCATATACAGGCCAGGGCTCTTGTCCTCTGGCCGCCACAGGTCTCTGTGGCCTTTCCCAAACAAATGCTTCCAAATACATAGAAACAGAGTTACAACATAAACTTAACAGGTCGAGAGATGGTATGAAAATATTTTGGAAAATGTGTGATATGGTAATATATGTGCTTCTTTACTGGTAAGTTAAACGACAGGACGTACGGGCAGGTCTTGTACTTGAGTTCATTTCAAGAGGACTACAACAAAAGCTAAGTGATCTGAAATGGTGTCACTTCCATTGGTGACAAAGCCACCAGGCTAACACTCTGTGTGTGCTCTGTGGCCTATATTCGTAGTTGCGGGAAACGCCAAATTTCAACTCGGGATTGGTGAAAATAAAAATGAAATAAAGCTGAGACAAAGTGGAAAAATCCTCTGGGGTTGCCTCAAGCTCACCGACACCAGCTCAGGGCCCCTGCACTACAGCCTGAGTCTGCCAGTGCAGATGACCGTGCAGCCACCGGCCGGCCTCCTGCAAGATTTGGCACATGGGGGCGATGCCAGTACCCACCTCTTAAGGTTGCTGCGAGAACTTACAGTATTGGCGCGAAAAGGCCAGCGATCACCATCCGGGTATTTGCCTCTCTATCTTGGCTGGGGAAAATTCAAATCTCGGGAAAGGGCGGACCCGAGAAGCGGCCCTGCGCCTGCGCGCGGGGCGGGGCGCCGGGCTCTGGGAAGCAGGCGGAGCGGGGTGACGCGGGGTGACGCGAGGTGACGCGGGGCGACACGGAGCTCTCCCGCG